GGAACCAGGGGAGGGACGTGCATGCCGGAATATCAGTTGTTTGCTGTAACTGCCCCAGCCATGTCTGCTACTCAGACACCTAATCTCACAAGAACAGTGATCAAGTTTCACTTTTACCACACTTGGTGAATCTGAGTTTACCTCCTGACTAGACAGGTGAGGATACTTCCCACATATTCTGCCTGCATTGTGTATGAAGCCTTTCTGAATCTTGGTATTGTGTGTTGATTCATCTCAGTTTTGATCCCTATTTCAAGACTTAATTCCTCACTGAGATGGTTTCACTAAGTTTATTATTCACTTCCCATAAACTTGCACATGAACTTTTCTTCTTTTGTCCATTCAGGCTGAGAATGTTTTCTTTTTACATTTGAACAGGCTACTTTATATCTGACCCATATGTCAGTGTGTCACAGTGGTGAATTCTACATATCAATTTAAGTGCACTGCAGTATGCCCAGATAGCTGGTAAAATGTTATTTTGAGGTATGTCTAGGAGGGTATTTTTGGAAGAGGTTAGCATTTGAATCGGTGCATGAAATAAAGACAATTCAGCACCACTAATGTGAACTGGGATGTCCATCATTAAAATGAATGGGATCACCGTCCTCTTGCCCTGGCCCAGCAGCACACTGCTACTCAGACTATCACCCACTGACCTGGGTTTACACCCGTGACTCACCAGATGCTAGAACTACTTCACAGTTTTCCTGGGACCAGCGTGTGGGAGAACCTCTTAGCCTCCACGAGAGATCGTATCTGACCATGAATTGCAGCCTGCCTATCTATACATATCCTATTGGTTCTGTTTTCCTTTAGACCCTAATACACACAGGCTTCCCTGCCCAGGGACAGTTCAAGGATAGCTGCCTCAGAGCACCACAAAGTCCATCCTCAAGGTCATGGTCATAGCCTCGTGCTTTCCTCTGCTCTTGTGTCTTCAGGCTGCTCCATTCTGAATCTCATAGTGTTTTAGGCAAACTCTGCTCTTCTGCTAACTCCAGCCATAAATACAATCATAACCCCTGAGAGTGGTAGGGACTTGACTCAGGATTTCAGGCACATGTGTACTTCTGAGCTCTCACACTTTGTCCTTCTCCTGTCACAACCTGTGTGACCACTTTGAAGCCTCCTGGCTTGCAGTCAGGGTACCTTGGTGAACACTTGCCCCAAAACTCTCCCTGGGGGAATCTCAAACAGACCTGCCTTCTGAACTTGAGAATTTTAGAAGAGTAGCGTTTCCTTCATCTCATTTCAAGTTTCAGATTGATTACTTTCAGCTTCAAGCCTTTGACAAACACCACATTCACCCTAAGAAGGAAGAGTAAGAGTGAACACTCTTGGGCAGAATCAGGTTGGGCTGCAACACCCATTGGTTTGTGTAAAACACAGGGCTGGAGATAGAACTGACCACAATTGCAACCACCAGCATAAGCTGATTGGGGTGACTGACTGTGCTGGACCCTGTATTGGCAAGCACACACAGGAATCAGGTTTGGGATCACCTTAGATGGATTTTTAATGGGGATCCCCCCAAATGAATCACGGGACTCAGAATCCCAACCATGGAGAGAATTGTAGGTTCCATGGTCTGACCATGCAGTCAGCCCATACCTGGTTCCACAACAGAGGATGGAGGACAGAACAAATTAATGAACTACCACAACCAAGTGTTGGCTGTGAGTATCTGGGCAAACAGAGACTCTAAGGTGGATCGTGACAACCAGTGGATTCTGGAGAGATTTCATCATGCTTGCAGTGGAGAGATTGGCAGTAATTCAGAACTGTTGAACTATTAAAATCTCTTGAGCAGGACCCTCAGAGCATGCCCCACATTGGGGACCCTGGAGTGATGTAGGGTGGCTGGGTATTGCTTTTCCCCTTGTCTCCCTCCTTCTCCCAGATACAGGAAGGAAAAAGAGAATGTGGAAATGCTGATTTCACCCACCTTCCTGTAGCCCTTGACCCTTATATCACCTTAGTCAACTATGTAAAAATCATAACAAAGAAAAAAGAAAGAAAAAGAAAGAATGCACCCCAGTTGTCATCACCAGAAGAGCCAGGAAATGCTGAGGTAAGGCAGGGTGTGTGTGTGGTATTGGAGCGGAAGGAACTTTTAGGAAGATAGAATATATGATGGTCTAATAGCAAAATATTCTCATGAAAACACGCAGCCAACACAGGCACATTAGTTACATCCATGATAATAACCCCCCATTGACTTACATATGCTTCAGCTGCCTTCCAAGGAAAGCGAGATGCAGTGACCTCCTGATCTGGCTTACCAGACAACGGAGATCAGCTTCCATCTTCAGTCTGACTAACGCCCAAGTCGACCACCCCTCTTCCCAAGACATGCACATCTCTGGAGCCTTCATCCCACCAGCCCAAGATGCTTGAGATCTAGCCATGGAGGAAATGAGGCCTGCTCAAGGATCCACAGAAAAAAAGAGAGTCTTGCTTATAAGAATGACATCTAATGATTCTACAATGGTCATGAGGGACATTGAAGCACCTAGGATCATTTTTAGAGCAGTTAGTGTCCCTGAGATCAACTGTGACCCCCTGGTTCTGACCTGTGGGAGTCAGAGGGAAAAATAACACTTCTGGCACATTCATTTGCCAATTAGAGGGGATTCTGCAAGAATTTTTGACATAGAATATTCCATGTAATTTCTGTATAGACCCTGCAAGCCAGTAAGGATATGGTTCATGCTATAGTCTACACTGTGTAATGTCAAAGACATTTTCATTCCTGATAACTAGAACTCTGGTCTAGATGCACTAACAGGAAGCTTCGGGAAAGGAAATCAACCCAAAAAGAGGGGAGGTGAGGGCGGATGAAATACAATTTTTATATTACCAAAATAGTAAAGTAGAAGTATCATAAAAATGCTATTAATCAAAAGATCGTGCTCTATTTTATAGCTAAAAATCTAACACTCACTGTGTACACATTTTTTACTTTAAATGTGACACAAGCCTAAATCATAATAATGTGAATCAATAACTAATTAGCATTTATAAATGCAGCCACTGGGAAACATATTTCAATTTCATAGCAAGGAAGCTGGGGAATTGATGAACAAAGGCCAAAAGTGAAGCAAACACAAGCTTGGCACACCCCTAGTGGCAGCACTGGCTAAATGCATAACCACAAGTAGTCAGTATTAGCTCTCAAAGGTGTAACTACAAGCAGATGGCACTATCACAAGAATGAGATCCAGGAAAAGAACGAAGCCAGAGGTGTTCAGGTTCCCAATAAGGTCACTGGGGAACTAGATAGGTCTTATTCTCCAGATCCTTCCCTTGAATGGCCTAACAGAGGTACATGAGATCAAAGGAAACAGGAGAAATGAGCCAAGGCAAGCACACGGAGTGGGAATTCCTGTGTGCATAATGCTTTGGAAAGATGCAGGGGTGAGGAATCTAGTGCACTTGTAAAGGCTGATTGAAGAAGACAGTTGATTTCAAATTTGGCATGCTTTTCTTCCTCCAGATTTTGCGCATATTAAGGAGACTGAAATGGCGTGGTTAAAATGAGCATACACTCAACGTGTTGCACTCATTTCTTGCACTGATTTCTTGACGTGCTGCTGTCATACCTCAACACACTTACACTTTGCTGTGGTTAAGTGTTGACAACATCTGGTTCCATTTCAGATGTAGCCTCATTCTTATTGTCTAAAAGCCATCAGAGGGACTAAATGACCCTTAAAACAAGAAGCAGGCATTAGGAGGAAAAATGAAAGGATAAAAATATATATAAAAGGATAGAAAGGAGAAAAGGAATAACGAAGCCAATCATTGTAGCACAACGAATTGAACCTCTGCTTCAGACACCTGCATCCCATACTGGAGGTCAATTTGAGATCTGGCTACAATACTTCCCATCCAACTTCCAACTAAAATTAACCTTTCCAGAGAAGACATTTGGTATGGTGCTTAAGATGCCACTTGCAACAGCTGCATCCCATATCAGTTTGTCTAACTTTGAGACAAAATGTCTAGGATTCAGTCCATGCTCAAGTTGAGTCCCTCCCAGCCATGTGAGATTACCAGCTGAATTCTCAGCAACTAGTTTCAGTCTGGCTCAGCAACAGTTGTTGCCAACATTTAGGGAATGAGCCAGTGAATAGAAAAATCTCCCTCCTTCTCTCAAATAAATAAAAATAAGTAAACAATTCTAAAATGTTGATATTTTTCCTAAGCCAGGTCACAGCAATGGAAGTATACAATATGAAAATCATTTTCATCCACCTGCTGTAGACTTACTGATGGTTTTGCAGTAATAGGTGTAGCTTTTACCAATAGATGAGTCACCCCATCATATCTCTTTCTGCTGCTTAAAATTTACACTCCCTTCCTTGTAAAATATATTATTTCTTCTCTCTCTATATATATCCTATCAGGAGCAGCAAAAAACACCTATCCACAAATGGCAGGTACTTACATTATGGTATACTGTACCGTCCCAATCTGTTTGAAACCAACCTGGGCTGGGCATCATGTTCTCAAAAACTTCCATGAGAAAAACAGTTGGGAAATTGTTAATCCTTCATGTGGCAAAGTGTACATTAATCAGGTATTCTCCAGGCCAACAGCTACTCTTTAAGATGTTATGAACTTGAATAAAACAAACATCTAACTTCTCAAGCTAAACATAAAGTTTTTCTTGAGTGAAATGGCCTCTATTTTCTATTCGGTTGTATCCTTGCATACAAACTTCTTTCAAATTCTTTTTCACATTCCAAGGTTCATTAATTTAATTGAATCTGTTTCTAGTTTTTAATTAAATCTGCATTTCTCCCAGTAACCTTAAGAAAAAGATAGAAGCTGCATTATCACATTGGAGAAAATAGGAACATAGAGCAAGTCAGACATAAAAGAAAACAACAAAGATACAAGGCAGTTTTTTTCCTATCAATTTATTTTTGTACCAAAATTAACATTCAAAGGTGATGCTTTTATTGTACAGTATAAAATAACTTCCACTAGGTTAAAAATTGGATTTTTTTTGCAGATAATAGATAATAACTTTTCTATTTAAAAAAACACCAAGTTTACAATTTGCAGCACTCATAGGAAAATAAAAACACCTGTTCAACAATTATAAATATTCCTGACAGTTTTCAGTAGCCCATTTTGTACCATTTTGGCAATGTCAACTTTCTAAAGTCAATTAGCTTCTAAATTTGAAAGGCACCTGCTAGCCAACATCCTGCTTATTATTCTATGCATCTATTTTAATTTTTTGTACAGGTTTGACAAGTCTGGAAAAACCTATTAAAGCTAAAGTGAATGAAGAAATATACTACATTTGGTACTAGAAAACAAATGTTCCCCACTTTTCTAGAATATTTCCCCAAGGGATTTACAAAGTGCACCAGTTAAATACATCTGTACATTTAAAAACCTTAAATATGTCAACAAGTGAGACAATTTTAAATATTTTGAATCAAATACTATAGCACAAATATAATTTACAATATTTTGCACAGGAAACATTACATCTGAAATATAACCTTAGATATTGTATAAAAATACATATATTTTCTCTCCTTGTTAGAAAAAAAGTATTTGTTTGCAGGTTCCAGCACAATGTAACAATCCAAAAGAACTTAACCCTCCAGATGGTCACTCCACTCGAGCTGTAAAGTGGCTCAAAACCACAGGTGACGTTCCAAGAACTAAATCCTCCCACAAGCCCACATGTAGTTCTTCACAGGCATCCATCATTGCTCCACACTGGTTTAATTCTAGGAATTCATTACAAAATCATAAAACCATTGTGTTACATATTAGGAGTCCAACACGGCCTACTGGCTCTGAATATTGTAGTCTATGCTCTCCCTGAGGTCAAGAGCATGAGCAGTCTTGTACCATGTGGGCCATGTCTCTTAGTAGTCTCATCCACCTATATACATTTTCCTTGTCTTCTGGAAAAAAAAAGGTCCCCAGACATTTAGGAAACATATGATCATATGCCACAAAGAGTAGGGCTCAATCAATATCCCGAACTTTAAAAGCCCCAAAGTACGTTGCGTCTTGGTCTGGATCCAGAAGAGAAGGATTGGACACTTCTACACTTATTTCCTCACCCGATCGCAACCTAAAAAATCCCCCGACGTTTATGGAATAAAAATGGAATTCAGAATTCCCTGACCAGTACTTGGTACTCCCTCCTTTCATGAGAGTGTGAGAGCTCGGGATTTTGATGCTGGTCTTGGTGACATACACCATCAGCTGCAGATACTCTGTCGCCAGGTCTCCAGAAGTTTCATGATGGCGAAAGCAAATGTTGGCATACAGGTAATAAAAGCCATCTTGATTAACAATCAGTTTTCCATTGCTGAAAGTCATGTTGGAGATTTTGGCCCAACCTCGATCATGGTACCAAGAGGAAAGACTCACTTTATGGGAACCTGTGGAGAGAATATGGAGGCGATTTAAAATTCACCAACTGTGGCCTGGATTCAAGTTCCAGCTCTATTTTTTCTGATTTTTAATACATCAAGGAATTAATATAGGGAGAACAGATTTCATGTATTTCATAGCTACAGTTCTAAGAGGATAACCGTATTTCTACCTCTGCTAATTTTCCTTCTTCCCTCCCTTCTTTTAATTTTAATCCACTCTATAATCACAGGCTTAATTCACCATTAACCATAATACTCAGCAAGTGAAAAGAGGGAAGACCACAGTTCCATAGCAGCATAAACAAGCGATAAAAACAACCGTATCACAAGATGTCTATCTGATTGCTAAGCATTTTTCACGTATTCTATATTAACTGACACATACAAAAGAAAACACTTGCTTTTAACTCCAACTTATTGCTGATGGGAACCCTGATAAGTAACAGCTGATGGCTATACTTCTTGAGTTCCTGTCACCCATGCGGGAGACAAGGGTGACCCAGCCCTTGTTGTCGTGGACATTTGTGGAGTGAACCAGCCAATAGGGATGTTTCTCTCTCTCGTCTCTCCTTTGTATTTCAAATAAAATAAATGAGTAAGTAAAAATGTCTAATCCACTCTTTGAATGAGAAAGATATCCTCACAATTCCAAAAGTTAGAAGGGGGGAGAGGCTGCCCAATAGTCACAATTCCAACTGGAGAATAACACCTTACAATGTGTATCTTAAAAGGAGAGAAATACATTGAGATGCATTTAGTGATCTGTCAGGCACAGGAGAGGTAACACAGAGAAGCACTGATTTTTCCTGCCCTGGAGGAGCCTGTACTACACCAACAATAAGTGGATCAAGTGTTCAGACCAGAAAGGCACACATGACAGCTATAGGAATCGAAAGGAGGGAGGTAAAACAACAATCATATCGCCACCCGGAGAGATCGGGAAGAGCTGTGTGCCATTGCCATCGAGCCTTGGAACCGAAAAGGAAGAATGGATTCAGTCACACAGACAGCAGCATGGGGTCATTCCAGGTTCAAGAAAAAGAATTGGCCAAGCCAACGGAGACAGGAAAGTGAGAAACTGGTATATAGGAGAAGGGTTTCCACATTTCACACTCTCAACCTTCTCTTCCAACTTGTGGAAAGGATATGTACAAAATGATGAAAATGTGGATCATAGTAACTTTGACCAAAAAGCCAAACTTGTCAACTCCATTATCATCACCATTTATTTTGTTCACTTCCAATAGTCCAAATGTCTCACAGGCTCACACAATTAAAAAAAAAACAAAAAAAAAAAACTACTCCCAGAAAAGCTTTAAAACAATCTTGACAGTGCATTCTCCTGGGTAACAATTCCACACATTCCATTATGACAAGAGTATTGTACATTCTCTTTTGATGGACCAGAATTCACCTTTATCCCCATTTCATGCTTAAAGCTAGTACTCATGCCACTATTTCTTGGGCAGTGAAAATTTCTTTGAAAACTTCTAAATAAGTAGTGCCTCCAGTGCTTTTCATGCAAGGGACCTTTAAAAAGTTCATTTTTTTTCAAGGATTTATTTATTTTTATTTGAAAGGCAGACTTACAGAAAGAAGGAAAGACAAAGAGAATAGTTCTTCCATCCATTGGCCCACTCTCCAAATGGCCACAATGGCTGGAGCTGAGCCTATCCAAAGCCAGGAGCCAGGAGTTCCTTGTGGTTCTCTCACGAGGGTGCAAGGTCCCAAGGTTTTGGGCCATCCTTGACTGCTTTCCCAGGCCACAAGTAGTGAGCTGGAGGAGAAGTGGAGCAGCCAGTAAACAAACCTGTTGTCCATACAGGATCCCAGAGTTTGCCAACTGAGCCACTGTGCCAGGCGCCAAAAGGTTCATATTAAACATACATTAGAATGCATGTATTTAGTATTTTTAAAAATATTTAGTATTAAATATTTAAGTATTAAATATTTAGTATTAAAAATTTTTAATATTTTAAAAAAATTTTTCCTGGGGTCACTCCAAATAGTGTACGTGAGGACCAAGTCCGTGGTGGGCATGGATGGGCTGGTCTGCAACATCCATTGGTTTGCACATGAGATGGGACTAGGAACAGAACTGACCAGGTGACTGCAATCACCAGTGTGTGTGTATAAGCTGATATGAGTTACGGATTGAGCCAGACCTTGTACTAGCCAGCACACACAGAAGTCTGGGGTCATCTCTGGTCAGGTTTGTTTCGGGGTCTCTCAACTGGACCACTGGACTCACAACTCTACCACAGAGAAAATCACAGGATCTGTGCATGTGCCGGAAGTGAGTCTCCCATGTTGAAGCCTGTGAGGTGGATGGCATGCCCAGATGCACATAGGGAACAGACACTAGTTCATTGGAACCTGCAGAGGACATTTAGTACCATCAAAGGCAGAACAAGTTGGACAGCCCTCCCAGCCAAGCTTTGACAGAGAGTATCTGGGTGAGAGGAGAATCTAAGTTGGACTGTGTCGGCCAGTGGACCTTGGAAGACTTTCCTTACCTTTGGTCCAACTAAATCAACAGCATCTCAAAACTACCAAAATCACGAAGCAGAACCCTCAGAACAAGCTCCACATTGGGGTTCCTGGGATGACATCAGATGGCCATTGGCCGTTGGACTTCTGGGAGTGGCCATCTCCCTTTTTCTCCCTACTGCCCCCAGATATATACAGGAAGAAAACAGGAGACTAGAAGCAGTTGTCTCATCCACTTCCCCCATCCCTCAATCCTCCCCACCTTAATCGGTAGTCCACATAGGCATGCATCTTTCCTAACTATGTAAGCATCACCAAAAATAAAATGCATTAATAAAAAAATTATTTTTGCATCAAAATGAATATCTTTAACTGTTGTTAAAAACTTTTTTACTTATGTAAAAGGCAGGGTAACAATGAGAGAGGGAGGGGATAAGACACATTAACAGGAAACTGCATCACAAGCAGAGGATCTGCTCTGATACGGGATTCCAGCAGTGCACTGGACTAAGTCATGTGCAACATTAGCCCCATCATGCATTTTTCAAGTCCTTAGTGCATTTTACCAGGTTCTTAAAAATTGACAACACCTCAATCCAGCTTAGCAAGCACTTTTATTTTCATAGAACCCAGTTATTCAACTAGAGAAGGTATTAAATAATGGAGTGAAGTTGTGATAATGTGGACAGTCCAGAAATGAATTTTTCCTTTGGAAGACTTTACTGAGACTTAAGACTGCAGGACAATGGAACTGAGGCTCAGATTTGAGATTTAGTTTGCAGCCATTGAGATGCTGAGGAAGAGAAATAAACCCTCAGACTTGGACTTAACTTGGATTCCAAGGCCCCATCAGCACTGATTACTCCGGTTGTCATGGATCCTTGGGAAATCCTTGGAGAGTCGAAAAATCACATTTTGTGTCCCTCCCAGACACGTAGGAATCTAGAACCTCTGCATTTTTCTCTAGAGAGTCATGGACCATATAAAATGTTCTATTATCTCTAGACGACCATGAGAAATCCTCAAAACCAGGCTGTTCCAAGAATCAACCAGGTGATGGGTACATGGACCAAAAAAAAAAACGTATTAGTCATTAATCATTAGTCATTAATCTTTAGCCATCACAAGAAGACAACAATGTTTCAAGTCTCAATTCCATGGATTTGCTCCTGAACTCTGTAACAGAGCCATCACAGGGGACCCTCCATGGCAAATGTCCTTCATTTTCATTGTAGGTCTTACGTTAGGTCATCCTCTATCAAACCCTTCCAAATGCAAATATCACCCTCCGGTCCCAAGTGAGTCAATGTGAGACTACAACATCATTCATCATGTCCTTGTAAACACAGGCCAGTGAACAGTCACCTACTGCATGGGCAAAACTCACAGAAATTCAAGATCGTTCCCCTCTCAGGCATGGCACATTTCCTTTCTTGCTATACTCCTCCTGTATTCAACTCTTGATTCAATCAGAGAGAGAGAGAGAGAGAAACAGAGCAACACTGAAGGACTTTGGTGAAAAAGGGGAAGGGTCAGGCCAGCTCAGAGCAAAAGTTGGCTGGAGAGGTGAGGAAAGAGTGTTAAATGCAGGAGTGAATGTGAATCTTGGCTGAATCTCATTTCCATTGTTAGGTAAGTCAAGTTGAAAAAGAGGGGTCATATTTCTTAGTTTAAAAAAAACTGTTCAATTTTTAGCACTTCTATTTTTATCATGCATTTGTTAATTCATTCTTTTGACCAGTCGTACAGCATCAGGTGGGTGCTTGCTATAGGAATTCAAGCTGTGCTTAACTATGAATTCCATCAAGTACTGTATATCTCACAGCCTTTGCCCATAATAGCAAGAGAAAAGAGAATAGGCAGATGAAATACAACATGCTCATTCACATATGCTGCATAGCACAGTGTTGACATCAACAAGCAACTGTCCAGGGAAACAAAAAATTCAAAGAATCAGGATAGCTCAGCCCTGGAGGATGGCAGGTTGGATATGAGTCAAATCTGAGAAAAAGAGAGTGTAATGAGGGCCAGAGAAATGGGCGGAATACAAGAAGGACTGAGTAAAGCACACAGACAGGAAAGAAAGTCAAACGAAGTGAACAGCAAACTCTTACATACACAAAAGTGAGAGCAAAGGGAACAACGCACTGCAATATGGCGAGAAGGCTTCAGAGGGCTGCCTGGGTTTCCATCGTCTCTGCCCCTTTAGCCCAGCTCCAGCAGGCCCACACTACAGTCCTGGGAGTGAGATGTCAGGCAAGAGGCCCCTGAAGATATTTAGCCTGAGCATCCCTGTAAAGAAAGCCATCTACACTGACCCCATGAAATACCTCTCATGGCACGTTTCTGGAGATGCTTTGAAAACACATGAAATAACACTGTATGAAGGTCAAGTAAATTAAGAAGGCCAACTTCTAAGGTGTCCAGTCCAGGCCAAGATGGAGAAATAAACAGACTCAAGGTGTGGTTAGCTGAGCCAGAGCAACAAACTCCATTTTCTTAAACAGTCGCGTACACTAATTCATTTCACTCTGTCACAAATTCAATAACTGTCAGATAACAACTAGGAGTTTTGCCTTGTTTGGTTGGCAATGATTTGATGCTAGGTGCCTGCAGAGTGCTTTACAACGAAAACATGCTTGCTGTTGCCAAGCAGACTTTGGCACGTAGTCTAATGCAATATTTATCACATGCCATTTAAAGTGAACTGAAAGGATAAATGCAGCATGCGATCATCACGTACACAGCTGATGCATCAGGATTAATTTGACTACCTTTGCTAACATGCAAAACATGGCTTTCTTCTTGGAGAAAATTAGTCCAGCTCCACAAGGCACACACAGACACAAAGAGAGAAGACATGTTACAGCACAAAGATCTAGAACACGGCAGGTGATTTGGAAAACCCTCCTGAGCTCAGAAAGTTGTTTTCTTACTCTTTGTCCTCAGCCAGGGGGGAAAAAAAAATCTGTCTCTATCCCAGGATATGACAATAACTTCAAAATCATTTAATAAAACTGGACATATTCTCAACTCAGGAAAAGTCATTGGTAGAACAAACTGGAGTATATAATTGCTTAATTCGACTCAAATCATGGTAGCAAGTGACAGCACGTGCTTGTCATAGGTCACCTTCCATAGAAGAAGGTTAGCGCCTCGCTCTGCACAACCTCCACTCCACTCCGCGAGGCAGATACCTTCTCCATCCTCATTGCAGATACAATGCAGCAAGGCATAAAGGCTTCATAAGAGTCACACAAGGTTGGAAGGCAGCAAACCAGGCATTCAATTTATTATTAGATCCCAACTAGTCTACTTCTCACAGGACAAGGGCCATCTCCCCAACCAAAGCCTGGAGGCTGGCTTCTCTGAGAATGCACAGCACGGACAGCATGGTCTTGAGAGGCATGCAGCATGGCATTCAACTCCTAATCCTGCCATCCTACGTCCTGGACCAAACGCCAGATTGTGTGATACGTGTTTCCCTGTCTGCACCTTCATACTGAACTTCCCTGTAGTAGTGTAGTCGGGATTAGAAATCACGAACACAGCAAAATGTCTACTACACAGCTGGTGCTGAAAAAGTGAAAGAACAACTGTCCTGTCCAATGGTCACTGTACAAAAATGCTCCTGGTAACCCTTCAGATCGTACCCTAGCCAAAGGCAAAGGATCCAAGTGGGAATCCAGGATGGAGCTGATGGTGCATTCAGGTGCTTCCAGACACTACATCTCTGCATCTCCTCATTTGTAAAACATAATCAGGTATCCAGTGTATTCAGCTAAATGATTACCCAGAGAAAAACAACAAGCCCCCTGAGAAGAAGGAGGATGTCACATTTTCTGGAGAGTTACTGCCTTTCAAGAACACCTCGCTGGACCCCTCAGAACTCCAGATGGTTGAGCTAGGACTAACAGGATGTATTCACCCTCCTGAGAGGTCAGCAGTGGGGATGGGTCAGCTTTGCCACAGGTAAATCTAGATGAGCATAAGCAGGGATTGTCCTTCTCAATAACTATCCCCATTGGTGGTCGTTTCAAATAAACACCCATTCTGAGGAGCTGGAAATGAACATAGTGATGAAGTCCACTCTGTTTCCAGGATGTGGATTGTCAACAGAAGATGGCCAGGGCTCTCAAAGATTCAGTAACAGCCTCATAGCAGATTTGACCACTTGATGGGCTGACACATGACTCTTGACATATCTTTCAGGCTGGATGTAAACGGACCTTACCTGATGGGATGTTGGTACCGTTAATAGTGAGATGAGCAAAAGGTTGAGTTTCAAGCTTGCCTTTCTTGGTCAGGTCAAGCCACAAGTCTCCCACTACAGCTGAAAGATGAGAAACCACATTAGCCCAGAGTGGTGACCCTTTGGGGTTTCAGAAATGTATACACAGATTCATGCTTACCTTTCTCCGCTCTGATGTGTTGCTGTGACCCAACAATATGCTGTAATTCCTGAAATCAAAAAGAATCGTATTTACTTATTCATTCTTTCTGAAAAAACAATAAGAACTCAGCTGTTAGATAAGCGATCAATTAACTCTCTTTTCCTTCAAAAAGACATATAGTATATAGGCAGTCACATTCTTGAAGGTTGTGATAGTTTTCAAAGAACTGAATGTTTTTGTGTTTATAAAGTAGTTCAAACACTGCCAAGCAAAATACAAGCAAATTTTTAAAAATGTAAATTATAAAACATGGAATAATTGAACATAATTAAAAACGTGTGGCAGATACACAAATGGCAATGAAATGAGCTAGGAAAATACCAATTACACAGAATATACGGCCCTCCTAAATCTCCCTGAGGCTCTTTTTATGTCCATTGTATTAGTGGATTCCTGTTGAAACACTGAGGCCCAGCACTCAGGGAAGAGAAGGATGCCTCACTCTCAATGTCTCATTTTTTATGTTAAAGTCACAGAGTACTTAAAGCACTATGTGGAAGTCTAAGAGCTTTTAGAGTACCAATCATTAACCTAAAATATTGCTGCAAATAGAGGCTTAGAAGCAAAAGGAAAAAGAGAAAAAAAAGCCCAAACATAAAGACCACAGGTAATTGCATGTCTCAATCTGAGCCCTGGAAATGAAACACCCAATACGTATCCACATGCCCATTTGAAGCCAGACATCAGCTAACATTTAAATGTCACATCTTGAGACACAGCAAGCTTAAGTGAATGCTTCACCTTAGCTCAGTTTCCTGCATAAAATGAAGCTATTCATAGCACCTCTCTGATAGGGTGCTTGCAAAGCACACATGAGATCATGGATGCAGATACTTAGCTGAGAATTTTTCAAAATTCGGAAACTTGGGTACTTGGAAAATTCGGATACCTGGATACTAAACTCTGCAGAGAGTCCCAATTTCTTTATCACAATGACCATTCTTCTCAAGATGCTTGAAAGGCAGGCAGGACATACAACTTAACTTTATTGAGTGTGTAGAAAGGAGGGCTTTAAAATAGACATCAGATTGGTAGGCGGATGGATGGATGGACGGATGGAGAGAGAGAGAGATACAAATGGCATAACAAAACTTTGTCATCAGCTGGAAAGGTTCCAGAGAGAATATTTACTCTTCTCTCTGCCCTCAGAACTCCCCAAATGAGAGTTCATTCTGTTTTTTTTTTTTTCTTTCATTCTGCCTTTAATAACCTAAGAAGAGACAGCACAGATATCTTTGGTCACCTGTTGTCAACTCCCAAAGCCCCACTGAGGCTGACGAGCAAGAAGAACCTTAGTGGCTCATCCAAACCCACGTTGGCTTTTGCCTACACCTGTTGCACCTCACAGTTCTGGGAGCACCGTTTGCCCAGCAGCCTGTGCACTGGGTTTCCCAATGCCCAAGACCTCGTTAAGTCCCCCTCGGCTCCCCACTGCTGTGGACCTCCTGTCTGGCCCAATTCAGGGAATGTCCTGGGATTTGTCTCCCATGCATTCGCAATAGAGATTTATATATACACGATTCTTCTTTATAAGCTATGTGTAACTATAGATTTTCATATCTATACAATGTATCGTGGTATATATTGTGCATATCTTTGTACGGTTACTTACAGGATGTATTTTTGTATATGTATGTGTAGTAATATATACAGTGTATCTTTACATAAACTGTATATCTTTTATACATTTTTATACAGTGTATCTTTCAATACATTACATCTATTTTTACACACTTCTATACACATGGTGTAGTTTTGCACATTTCTATGTACCTAATAAAATCTGATTACTGACTCTTAAAGATGTGAAATAAAACATTGGTGAGGAAGTAACTCGCAGACTCAAAGCTTCCCTTCCCATTCCCCCCAGCTCTGATCTGGTTTTCTCAGGCAGTGAGACAGAAGCCCCACTAACAAAGGCTTAGACCAGGCCCGGCACAGTGGCCTAGCGGCTAAAGTCCTCGCCTTGAACATGCCAGGATCCCACATGGGTGCTGGTTCTAATCCCAGCAGCCCCACTTCCCATCCATCTCCCTGCTTGTGGCCTAGGAAAGCAGTCAAGGACAGCCCAAAGCCTTTGGACCTTGAACCCACATGGGAGACCTGGAAGAGCTCCTGGCTCCTGGCTTCAGATCAGCGCAGCTCCAGCTGTTGCGGTCTCTTGGGGGAGTGAATCATTGGATGGAAGATCTTCCTCTCTGTCTCTCCTCCTCTCTGTATATCTGACTTTGCAATAAAAATAAATAAATTAACAAAGGTTTAGACCTACAAACACCTGTGTCGTGATTTTCCCCCACAAGGAAAGTGCCTTTGTCTAGTTCTCAGCTTCCCAAACTTGAGCATACATCACAACACAGGGAGTGGAGTGGGGGAATGTGCTTTAAGATGCTGGTAGTGGACTCAGCCTTAGCATTTCTGATTCAGTAGATTTGGCTGAGGAACAAAGAACTTGCATGTCTACCACGTGAGCAGGTGCTCCCAGGCCTCTCTGCAGACTGATGGCCTCTTTTACCTGCAGACAGTCACGGAGGAGCAAGCCTGGAGCCTCCCGGGCAGCTTGAGATCCAGGCCAAAGAAGCAGCGGAGACAGGAGGGGTGGTTATCTCTCACCTGGGGGAATGAACTTTTCTTGCCTGTTTAATTGCTAGTTTCTAGGTCAGAATTCTACAGACCCATTTTGTTACTAGAGAATTCCATAATAGGACTTCCCCAAGCGCATTCAACAGCCACATCAAAAAATAAATAAATAAGTTTTATGACTTGGGATGAATGAAGAGGAAAACGTTCGGGTGTTGCTGCTTTTATATGATATCTACTGACTGTCCTGGAATCTGAAACTCTATCCGGAAGTTTCCATGTAAACCAGGAGTGCATGATGTGCCTGTAACTTCTCAGAAAATCCTCCTGACCTCTGATCTTTTATCTCAATGTTCTGAACTCAGTTCATTGCCCTGTATGTGCAACCACAAGTGTACAGCTTCATTTGAAGGGTATCTTTGGGTCTTGGGTCTGAAAGCAAACTTTTGTGAGTGAGACATGTTGTGTGTTGGTGGGGAAGCCAACTTGAAGGGGACCTTTGGGGTTTGTTCTCATCTCAAACCCGGTCAGTCTGAGCGTGTCTTGATACATTGTTTAAATGCTACTAGGGGATTCTAATACACAGTAGGTGCTAGGAAACATCGTTAATCATCAAGTGTTCCCTTGAACAGTCGTTTAGTGACACCTCTATTTAACAAGGATTTGTTACATCCTCGCACCTCACATGTACATTTGCTCCTTGGCTGCCAAAGGGGGATTGATTTGGGGGAGTCTCCTTTCCCACCCATCCCCACAGACAGGAAAACCTGCACGTGCTTCAGTCCCTTGTAAACTGAAATTTTGCATATAATCCAAGCACCTCTTCCTATATACTTAATTATAATGCCTTGTGCAGTGCAAATACTAGGCAAATAATTATTTTATTGTTTAGAGAAGAATCACAAGAAAACCATCTGAACAGATGCAGTAGAGGTATTTTTCAGATGAATATTTTTGATTCAGAGTTGTTGGGTTCCAAGGACCTGGAAGGCCAACTGTATAAACCGTATGTTGAAAATTAAACAGTCTTGTGCATTCATGGCCAACCAAGTATTTTTCTGGTGTGTTGTCACGCTCGATTCTTGTTAAGAGTTGAAGGTTGGATAGCTACCGCTAACTTTATTTTTTTTCCAACTGACATGTGGAAGCACCGACTAAGGACTCGCTCTACAACATTGGCACTTGAACCTCCACCTGCTAGAGGTTCTGTTCACCTAGTCCCCTTCCCAAGGCCTCCCCATCACACAGATTCTTGAGATCTGGAAGGAAAGAACACAGGGCCTCTCCTGTAACTGCTAGAGCCTGGCTGGAGAGAGACCCGGAAAAGCAGGCAGGCCTTAGAAAAAGGAGCCTGTGCTCGGGGACGTGAGCTCAGAATTCTCACAGCGTGCCAGATGCTGGGCTGAGAATGCTTCTAAACCAGGGCCCGTGTGTGCCCTGGATAGGGGCATCGCGTCACCAACCCAGACTCTACCAAGTCCCCCCACAGTCAAGAGCTCCTCTGCTCTGTCCTTCTCCCCCCAAAATCCACTCTTCCATGGGATGCCAAACACAGCTCTTTCTTGAATGTTCTGCAGCATTTCTCATCTTCAGGATATTAAGCTCTTCTTAAGGCCTTTCACCCTAACAACACTTCCATTTATTTTCTAAGCTTTGCATTAACAACGATTTTCTTCCACATGAGCCCTCTACCTCTGTCAGATTAATTAGAGTATTTTACAACATGAAGAGGGTTTTTTTTCTTCTTATATTCCCAAGTCTAATCATTCAGACATTGCTTTTGGTTTCTTTGAATTCAGAAAGTTCTGACAATCCAATTTTGGAGAAACACTACAAAGGATGTTCTACTTCCTTTCTTCTAAACAAATTATTCAGATGAAAGGGCTGTTTTAAAGGTTTTTTTGGTATGTGTTTTATCTTACATTAAGCTAGCTATAATTATGAAAAAAAAAAAAACAGCTAATTCTTGGGCTAGACAAGCAATGCATTTGCATGTTATCTTCCTTCAGAATGCCTACAGATTGTCACAAAGCCAGGCACAGGCTGCTCGGCCACGACTCCCAGCAAGCAGCCCGGAGCAGAAGCCATTAGCAGTTTCCACTCTTCCCTTGGCTGAGCACCACGACTGAACGATGTTAGAATTCCGCGTCACACTACCCAGCAAAATCAGCGCTCCTTCCCCTCAGCATACAGTGTGTTCATCATCAATTGTGTGCAAATGGCAAAAGGATTGTCTCCCGGTTTCTATAAACTGCCGATGCCAATTAGGATTACCTGCAAAAAGTTACTAAGAAAATTCACATGAATGAATGCATTTATTTATGGCCACACTGCCACAAAGGGGCTTTTCAGCAAACGTATACATTTTTAGATACATATAATTTCAGTCTACTTCATGACAGCTCCATGGAATCCTTCAAACCAGGACAA